GCCGAGGGCCACTGCCGCCGCCCGCAGACGGGGTGCCCTTTCCGCGGTGCCTCCGCCGGCCTCCTGCTGGCCGGGGGTTCCCGTTGAAGTTCCGCTGCGCCTGTTGGCGCTCCTGAGGCCGCCCCGGTGCCTTGCCTGCTCAAAATGGCTGCTGGGTGGCGGGGCTGGTCCCGGGCCGAGAGCCGGGGCGGGCGGGCGGCCAGCCCTGTGGAAGCCCCCTGTGGGATGTTGGGCGCTCGCTGGGCAGCGCTCTTCTCCTCTGCCCTCCCGGTCCCTGGAAGAAGCACCCGAGTATCTGGGGGTGCTGAGACCCAGACAGCCTCTTGCCCGATGTGATTAGCCAGCGCAAGCCGTTTGAAACCCTCCGCGCTTTGTTCCAGCAAGAGTTTAAGGCGTTCTTTGCAACCTGATGCCCACCCCTCAGCCTTGCTAGGCATCTAGTTTGCAGGTGACTCTAACTTACACCTGCCAGGCACAATCGCGGATCAAAGGGAGAACAGGCCATTGGGCCAAATCTAGCAGGGTGGTGTTCAATTTAAGGTCCTGCATCTGGGCCCCCAGAAAATCAAATGTGTAGATTTAGGTCTGGAGCAGCCTGGCTTGGCAACTGGATTAGGAATGTTATTGGAACCACCTGATGCCACAGCCATTTGAATGGCCTTAGCAGGTCCTGGGAGGCCATCACGCCGCTGTGTTGGTTTGATTTGGAGTACAGCGTCTAGTGTGAAGCACTGTGCTTTAAGAGGGATTTGGAGAAGCTGACCTGGGTTTCGTTCTGGTTGCGCTCCTCTGAACCAAGCCGTATGAAGAACAGCGAAAGGGGCTGGGCATCTTGAGGCTGCAGAAGAAGAGACTGGCGGAAGATTCACAAATGTCTAAAAGGCTCATGTGGGTGGACTTCTTTTCTGTTTAGCTCAGAGTAGGACAAAGAGCAGTAGGCTGAAATTTAAAAGATTCAGGTTGTCTGTTTGGAGGAATTTTCTGACAATAAGAGCTGTTAAGCGGTGAAGCAATCTGCGGGTGCTCTTGCTGGAAAGTTGGGGCCACCTGTGGAGGATTCCTGCCCTGCGCAGTGGATCAGACCAAATGGCCTTTCAGCTTGCACATTCTGTGATACTTGAAGTGAAACTTTGTTGCACAGTTTTTTCAGACAAGGTGTAAGATGTGATGTCAGATTTTGTTTCTGTCCTTTATTGCCTGCGCAGTTCAACTATGGATAAACGAGGTGTATTGGCAGAAGCTGTGAATGGAGACACATTGCTTAGCGTGAACATAATCAGTACAATGAAGTTCCCTCATCGCTACACAAAAGTAAGCGGCTAGACTTCTTGTTTAAATATTGAATTTAAAATGTTATTAAATAGACATCAAAGTCTCCCTCCCCCCATCTTTAGAACATGCCCCTATTTCTGCAAGTATAGAATTAAATTTGGTAGCTACTTTTCTGGTTTTGGACTTGATTTTCAAATCCTTTTCCTTTGATAAGGCATTAGTGAAATGCACATTTAAACTGACACCCATGTTAAACAACAAGCATCTCAGGCTCTGTAAATTTCAGTTGGTCATCACAGTAATGTATGATGTAAAAATTTGAATATTAAGCTGGCTTATAGTTGTAAAATATTCTTGTAATTGTTACTGCTGTGGGTTTATTCTACTAAATGTTCTGAACAGTGAATGAAACCAACTTTTCTGAACAATGGTTATCAATTTAAATTATACTATTTTTATTCTACTAATTTCTGTGTGTTATTTTTAGAGTAAATGTCTATGTATTTCAATCTGAACAATTATACACTAATACAGAATTATGTGACAGACATAAAACTATGTGCAATGCTGGCTAATCTCTAAAAGTGAGATTTACACTAAAGACAAATAAGTGTCACTAACCTGGATACCTGTTGAGAGCTATGCAGAGGTATGCTTTTAGACCAGTGTTTCCCAACCTCTGAAACTTTAAGGTGTATGGACTTCTGGAAGTTGAAGTCTACATACAGTGGTACCTCTACTTACGAACCCCCCTACTTACGAAATTTTCAAGATACGATCAGCTCCGGCCCCAAAAATTTACCTCTACTT